AATGTCTAGGGCTACTAGTCACCTACTACAGGAAAATTAATCTAGATGCTTTTGGTATGCATCAAATCTTTCTCAAACATGTATTCCAGTCAAACACGATAGTATAAAGTGAAAATTGATGGAACGAACATTAAATTTGATTTACTCACCTCTAGAGCTTTAATTGAGTGTGTTTGGACAAAAGAAAAAGTAATTAACTGCTTGTTTGTTAGTTGTGGCAAAACGTAATTTATAGTATACAACAATTTAAAAAGGATATATAGGGAGATTAATATACATTCAATATAAGTTTAACATGAGTGTGAATGATGTTATTTCCCTATCACTATATTTGAGTGTTAATTAATTAATGACAATAGCTTAATTATCGCAAAATAATTAGTATATATTTTTAGTAGCAATTAACACTCTTTTGTAAATGGCCCTAAAACCTATAACGATATTGGATTCAATGACAAATAACTAATATCAATAAAGACTTTAGCAGTACACTTTATTAATATGTAGACTTATTACCGTTAAAAATTATTTTTGTTTATAGTGTGCGATAAACTAAGCACATGATCGACTTATTTTTAGTTGTGTTAATCGGTAATGCTTTCATTAATTATTATATAAGAGAATCACAGGTCTCTCTCTACCTTTGATGTATAGAGACTGCTTCATCTAGTGTAATTTCCTCTAGAGTTTGAATAGGGTGGTATATATTATATACGATTATTTATATCTATTATGAAGATAGAAAAGAATCCATGTCCGAAACAATTAGAAGACAACGGAAATAACGAGTAATGCTAAAATTGAAGAGTAAGATAACATATATATTAGCGGAATATAGAAGGAAGACTATGGATCCAAATATGTCTATGAACAAGTTATTTGTTTTTGAAGCATCTCTTTCTTTTATATCAAAAGCTCTCGAAAGAGATGCGAATGGAATTGTATCGCTTAGATCAGTTCCTTTTTATATGGATGAACCTACTATTTAATAAATAAAATCATTCTAGTTCCGAAGCAAAAAAAAACCAATAATATAGTAGCTATAGAAAATAAGGGAATTAGACAATGCTCGACTACTTACTAATATTCTACCCAATATTCGTGACAGACATATCTTCGGATTTGGCTCATCTCCATTACACTTTCTCTCAATTTTCTCAAATATACATTTAGATGGATAACACTTGCCTAATATAATTTTTAAAGGTCAAGATTAAATTAATTTAACAAGCATCTTAACTAGGATTAAAATACTAAATTTGGAAACCATTTTTTAATTATAGTATGCAATATAAGAGGGTGTTTGGATTGATTTAAAAGTTGGTCAAACCTACTTTTGGTAAGTTTTTGATTTCTGAAAGTGTTTGACGAATATAAAAATAACTTAAAATAAGTCAAAAAAATAACTTAAATTAAATTAGGAATTGTTTGACAAGATTAAAAATAACTTAAAATAAGTTAAAAACCAAAAGTAAGTCTCCCCCTATTTATTTATTTTTTTGATTAAATTTATTTAAGTTTGATTTTTTTTATTTATTTAAAAGCTATTTTTTTAAGCCGATCCAAACGGGCTCTCAATCTTCTCACATATTTTGATACTCATTAATTTCAATTTATAAATTTCATTAGTAAACTTTCCTACACCCCCACCCCCTCCCTAAACCAGTATAAATAAGAAAAACGTTTTGCGATCATAAATTTTAGGAAATTGATTTTAAAATTAGTCTGAAAATTGAATTGAAGAAAACATATGAGGGAAGTAACTCTTGAAAGTGAAATAATAGTTCTAATTTTTAATTGACTTATAAAAGTAAACAAGAGTATTGAAATTATCCGTGACAGTATTTACATTCATTCTCTTCCATTTAATTTAATTTAGCTAAGATGGAGAATATATGAAAGAAAGAAAAAAAAAAAGGAAGGAAAGTACCGTGATAGTAAATATAAATTCGATGCTATTAAATAGTTACTTTTTTTTAACATATTAACAAATTTGAATTTGTTTTATCGATGTAAAATTTACAAATTGGAATTAATGCGTATCAAAATATGTGGGGAGATTGATATTGCATATTATAATTAAAAAGTGGTTTGCAAATTTAATATTTTAATCATAGTTAGGATGCTTGTTAAATTAATATAATCTTGACCGTTAAAAATTATATTAGACAAGTGTCACTCATCTAAATATGTACTTGAGGAAATGGAGAAGAGCCGAATCCCATATCTTCCTGTCATGCATGTTCTCGATAAGTTACATGTATATGTGCTATGTTCTGTCCGAAATCTTTGTGGTCTACCTCTACGTTTTCTTATAACCACTATAGTCAATCTCTTACACCTCTTCATTTAAATATCTATGCATCTTCTCTTCACATTTCAGTGTCGCCTTCCTCATATCTTGTCGACCATGGAGCTAGGCCACTCCCACCTTAACGAGAACACTAATTACTAACTGTTTTCTGAAGAGGATAAAAGTTAATTAGCACTCAACATACGTTGGTGTTATATTTACCTAGTACTTGATATAATTGGGAAACCAAGAAACTAATTAAATAGACGAGATAAGATATGTTGGAGCGTAAGGCAATCTAAGTTATATTATTTGTTAAAAAATTAGATGGAATGGAAAGAATATTTTTTAATTAGACAAGCATGAAGGTATTTTGCCATAAGCATAGTTTGATAACTAATTTTAGGCCAAACACCTATACAATCCCTTTAACTTGTTCGTATTTTTCATTTTGACACTTTATCTTAGCCTTATTTCATTTTAACCCTTAAACTCCATTTTTTTATATACCATTTTAACACGAAATACTATTTTAATGATTTCTTTATTTTTATATATATTCTTCAATTGCAACTTCTTATTTTAAATCGACATGTGTCAATTAATTTTAGTTAAAAAAATTAAAAATTAACAAAAAAATATTTCTTTTTAAAAAATAATAATTTCTTTTAAGAGTGTTACGTATTTTTGTGTGAAAAATAACCGATGAAATTGTGTTGGTTTTCTTTCTTAAAAATCACCGACAACCTAACAAAGTCAGTCGAGTTTTAACATTTTTTGGTAGTGTTATTAGCAATGAACAGGAGTCTTTTTTTATTCGTATTGAAGATGGGTTTTTGTTATTCGTATTGATTTATATTAAAAATTAAAAGTGAGTATTTCCGTTAAATTTGGATAGCCTAGATGATAAGAAAAAAAAATAAGTAGTGTTATTTAATTTAATTGAATGTTTAAGAAAGAAAATCAAAGAACTTTCGTCAATTTAATTTCATGTAAAAATACAGAGAAATCTCAAAAAATAATATTATTGTGTGAAAATTTTTATGTTCATTCGCAAATGTTTAATTTTCTTACGAAAATTAACAGGCACACGTTTATTTTTTTAAAATAAGAAATTGCAATTGAAGAACATAAATAAAAAAAATCATAAAAATTAGTATTAGTGTTTAAATGGTACAAAAAAATAGAGTTTAAGGGTTAAAATAGAATAAGGCTAAGTTGGAGTGCCAAAATGAAAAATGAGAGCAAGTTTTAGGGGTTGCATATATGTTTGGCCTTAATTTTAATGGTAGAAATGGAAATATGAATAAGGAGTTTAAGGGTTAAAATAGAATAAGGCTAAGTTGGAGTGTCATTGTGAGTTTGAGTCATCAATGGAGCAAAAGGGATGGAAGCTCATAGGAAGGGTAAAAAAAAAAAAAAAAAGTCCAATAAGAAAGACAAAAAATATATAGTAGCTAGCCAGGACATTTTGGTGTCATTTCACTTGGGAACAAACGCACATGCACTCCAATAATTCTTATCCTTTTTCGCACACAAGTCCAACCATACCGTGTAGAATATAATTTGTAGCTACCAAAAATATATTCATCATTAACAAATATTTTCAATAATATTACAACTTATTATCTCCCCTCTTTCTTTATACTTTTTTCATTCTTAAACCATCAACAAAAGAACCATATATATATATGCCTCTATTTGTAATATTTTACTTAGTAACTTTCTCTATAAATTATTAGTGTTTGGCTCAAATTAAGAATATGGGTGCTTAAGCAATAATTATAATCAATTCAACTCATTTTTATCATTTGAATTATTCTAATATAATACTAATATTATTCTAATTCTGAGCTTGACTCTTACATTCAGAGTTTGTCTCTTCCGGACATAAATATACATATTAATAAAGAGTAATAAAATATTTGCTAGTATTAATTAGTTAATTGTCGTTGAAGGCAATGTCGCTATAAGCTTTAGGACATTTACAAAGAGTGTTAATTGCCTCAAAAAAAACATACTCAGCAGTCAGCGACAATTAAACTATTGTCGTTAAAGATCATTTTTGGTGTTAGCGAAAAACGTCTTCCCATTTAAAAGAAGATAAAAAGGGAAAGCAAAAGGCAGTAACTACTTGCCCAAATTTGTTCTTGTAGGATCAATTCAGAGAAGAAAGATATTGTAGGGGTAGATTTGAAAAGAAATTAGAGTATTATAGTGCGTAGATGATTAAACTGAGCTTCAATATATTGTAAACACTAATCATGGAATATTGGAATTAATTCTAACATTTAAGGTAACTAAATATTTCTCTTTTCTATTTACAATTGGAAACAAAATCGTAAACAGCCGTTTTCGAGCTTGAAGGTCTATATAACTTGAACTTTCTCTTCTCATCTCTCCTAAACTCAGGATTTAATTTCGAATCGATGGAACTCTTTGTCATTCTTCTAATAGACCTTGCAATGTTTTCTTGTTATCTGTTATATTTTCTTCAATGTGTCCTTCTTCTTTGTACTTGGATTTGCTGTACTTGAGCCAAGGATCTTTCGGAAATATCCTCTCTATCTTCTCGAGAGTAGTGGTAAGTTTTGCGTACCTTCTACCCTCCCAGACCCAACGTTGTTGTTGTTGGAACTCTTTGTCATTCTTGGATTGAATTGGACTCCGGCCTTGGCCCTTTTGCTAGATTTTTCATCATTGTGGCTCAATTATTTCTATTTGGGATTATCAATCATGCCAACAAAGAAGCATGACTACACATCTTCTCATTATGTAAAGCCTCCCTCTTTGCTCCTTAAGAAACTTTCCAAGTCTTCTACTTGACATTTTCTTCTTTGAGCTCTCATCATGACTTGCACCACCAACATTGTTCATCTTCATTTCTATTGCCAATTTAATTCTTTGAAATCAAGGTATAGTGTGTTGTGTGAGACTGAGCAAAGTAGTAGAAGAATTAATGAAGTTGGATTTGAAGTGGGTAAAGGAGAAGGTATTTTCTTATATAGAGGATGAGTAATGTGTGTGGTCCAAATTAAAGCATGCAATATTTAACAAAAAGAAAGGACATTACCAAGAAACACGGTCCCCCTCTCCCCCCCCCCCCACCCACCCACACGCCCCAATACACTTGGAATCTAACCTCTGCCCATCTCTAGTCTCTACCTTCTCAATCACATGCCACGTCACTCTCTTTTTAAAGATTTTTTGTCAAATGAGGTTTTGAAAAGATAATTCAAAAAAAGAATGATTATTCTAGCTTTATAATGTCTAAAAATATCGTACCAATCCAATGTGGGATTCCATCCCATTCCTCAACAATTTTTTCTTCATGGAAATTAATTATAATCCTACATAATTTTTCTTCAAAATAATTTCAAAGACCTCCATAGAAGTTTTGCTTTTATGATTTTCATTTGTGCTCTCTTCATCAACATTATATTTTGTGGGCATCATCCACCGGGATAAGTGATGACTTAGTCGGCCATGTAAGCAAAAAGGCTTGCAATATAGTATAGACTATAGTTATATATTACTATTATTTAATAATTACTGCAATTTAATTTCTTTAAATATCTAGAAGCTTAGTAGGATATTTCCTTGAAGTTTCAATTTGTTTTGCTCGTTTTAAATGCACATTAATTAGAATTATTAGATAGAATCTTAGGCTTAAATTCATAAAATTCCATAAACATTAACCTGTCAATTTCCCTTCTATTGTGGCTTTATTTTCCACTCCATCTATTATAATTAGTTAGCTAACAATATGTCACGAGTCAAAAAGTTTTTAGATTAGCTGTACTATATGATCAATCATTAATTAAGAATCCAATATTAAGATAAACTGAGATTACGAGACAAACAGTAGACAGGATAGTCCCTAAATTACTATTAAATTCAACAAAGTTTAACTTAATTTAACAGCATGTTTAGCGAGAACACGACAATGGTTTTACGTACCTTATAATATTTTCTGTCTATCGCGCACGCTTCCCAATAACTTTTCCTCGACAGCCACCATTTCCAAATTCGATTTTTACATTATCAGTATATATAATTAACCTGGCGTTTGAGTGAGTGGGTGGGTGGGTAAGTGGTTAGAGGGGTCCTTGGTGTGGTCAATTTGATAGTAATAATTTAAATACGGAGCATAACACATTGACATAAGATGGCTGAAGAAAAAGAACCTAGAGAAAGAGGAGACAATGAAGATTAAATAACACTCATATGTTTGATGATTTTCAAGGTGTTTACATATATAATATTATAGAAAAAGACATAGTTGTACTGTACAAATGAGGACATGTTGGCACGTGATGTTCTCGTGAAAGACATGGTACCCATCTTCTATTATTCAGACATATTTGTTTCTTATATTATGTCCCATGAAACTTCCTCCTTAGTCCTAATTATAATGTGTGAAGTTACATATCTTCCTAGGAGTAATAATCAAAATGGGATTATGAAGCAACAACAAACAAATCTTTGTATTAATTGTTATTAATCACAGACAGCTAGCTTGGAAATGTACAATCCAGTGAATTAGAGTATGATTACTTATAATGGTGCTATTAGGACTTGTAGTTACACTATCCAAGTTCACTTAATCATATAACTATGAGTATCAATTTGGGATTTGCTATGTCTCCAATCAAATCAAACATCATTAATCAGGAGTGAGGATCAAGTTTAAGGTAGAAATAAGAAGAATAATAAAATGCAAACGCGTGACACAATAATTTAAAGTGTGAACTTTTAGTTAGAGGAGTACACATTTAAAAACTCAACAAATTACATTGGAGTATTCGTAAGTAGTGGCGAATACAAGATTTTTACTATAGGGTTCAAAAAAATAAAAATACAGTATTAAGAAGGGACTCAGAACCTCAATAAATTTTGAACACCTGAACAACTAGGTCAATCTCTATTGTTGTGTTTAGGAAATTCAAATTCTATATATGTGCATAAAAGAATTACCTTGTATATATAATGTAATTTTTTGTTGAGGGGCTTCGATTAAACAACTTCGGCCACCTCCAGATCTACCCATATCAATTAGCTAGGGTGCCCCAATTGGTATAACATGTGGTATCCATAAGGGAGGTCAGAGATTGATTTCCTCAATAAATACATTTTCAGTCGAGCTCGTTGCACAGAGTTTGCCTAATGTGGTTTTACATCTCTGTGCAATTTGTAATGTGTTACTTATTACTCCGTCCTAGTTTATGTGGCACATTAGGATTTTCATTAAGAGTGTCAACCACATTTTTCTTTGGCTGAAATTTCTTTACTAGTCTTTAAATATTTTAAGTTGTTAATTATTGTAATTTATATTACTTTTTACATAATTATCAAATATATAAATATTTTTTCAACAAAAATCTAAAGAGTAAAGACTATATGAAATCACCACCAAAATTCAAAAACTTGAATATCAAAATTCTAACCATGCTATACATAAATTGAAACAAAGAAAATATCACACAAGAGACGTGGTCTACCCTATGCACAGTAACAAAGAGTTTCCCAAAATTAGGGTTGTAAGTTGGCTCACTTAACCAATGGACTATTAAGCACTAGTTATCAAGTACTCGTAATTTCGTTTTATAATATATGTATTTATTCTCCTTGAAATTAACATAATACTGAAATTGAGCTTCTGAAGAAAAAATTGGGTCTTCGTCTCAATTAAATTATTTGTTATATTTTAAGTGGTCCATAAACATTCACGGCTAGTTTGTATTTTATATTTTTAAGGACCAACAGTAACTAGCTGCCAAGGCAAATTTGGGTAGAATTCTGACAATAATTGGCCGCCTTTGACTACAAATTGTACACAAAAAGAACACGTATGTAAAAATAAATAACAAAACAGATTTATATATAAGGAAAATAGTGTTCCAACAAAGTTTCTTCGATATTTCCTCGAAAAATAACAATACATTAATTTGAAACAAGTATATCATGTATATAACTATGTGACAATTAACAATTGAAAATTTACACAAGACGATTTTCCCCCATGCTATTGTTTATGGGGTCGATGTTATCAAATAACCAAGTTCCGAAGATAAAAGTTTATGTGTGCATTGAATAAACCGTTGTTTTTGTAGTACATTTGGACCGGGCTACTAAAAGTGGGCTTGTGAAGAAAAGTTGGGGGCTTCACTGTAGGTGGTCCATAAAAATTCAGAGCTATATTGATTTATTTGTATTTTAAGCAGAGAACAGAAAGTAAATGCCAATTACCAAAGGTAAATTTAGGTTAGATTTCTGACAATTGGATGGCTTTGACTAAAAAAAAAGGTAGTAATAGACAAGAAACACACGTATATATGGAAAAAATAGAAGAACAAAAACACAAGATAAGAAATCCTAGTGGAGGTCCCTGACAAGAGAGAGGACTCCCATGATTCGTCATTGTTAATGTCAGATATTGGAGATGATAGCACGTTTTTGCATTCAAATGGGGTCGGAAAGTATATAGTGTACGCAGATTATATTCCTATTATAGAGATAGAGAGTTGTTTTCGATAGACGTTAATAAAAAAAGTAAGGGAAGTAAAACTATACTGAATAGTAATGTTAACAAAACAAAATGATAAATAAACTATAAGAAACAATAGAAAGCCATAGAATTAAAGTACAAGAAATTGCATGAGCAATACTCCAATTACGACTATGGTCGGATAGTAGCACATTCAAAAGAAAAAGAAAGAGAAGGTTTCTTAATACGTATAATATATGTAAATTTCATACTACATACATATTTTGTAAACTAGATAGTTCAGAGGCATTGAATATAAACAGAAAAAAAAGGATTGGATGATAAAAATGCGAAAAAAAAATATAGACGCCGCTGCCGGGGATCGAACCCGGGTCACCCGCGTGACAGGCGGGAATACTTACCACTATACTACAACGACTTGTTGTTGCAATATTTTCAATAATAAAGTTATATATTGTAAAGTCAATGGACAAAATGGTTTGGGCCTGCTGTAAAATGCTAAAGAGCAGCAAATTCTAATTCTTGAAATTGGATTGAAGAGAGCTAGTACTTTTCCAGAAGGATGCATTTAAAAAAGGGAAAATTGTATGAAATAACAAATTATTAATTCAAATTAAATGTTATAGCTAAAGTTTATTTTAATTGTAATTTATAGACAACATCCCTTTTTTGCCATCTGATTCGGTATACAATTAGCTATTTTATACATTTCGGTATAAAATGTATAAAATGCGTTTGTGTTTGTATAAAGCGAGAGAAAAGTGTATATACAAATATAAATACATACATTTTCATCCTATACACTTATAATTATACAAATACAGATCTTATTATACAAATTACAATGTATAAATGAATTTATACAAAACTGAACAATTTGTATAAATTGGATGTTTGTAGCGAATTATACAAATCAAAAGCTCCATAGCAAACAAAAAATTTACTATGGAGCGCAATTATGCAAACTATAACAAACATAATGATTTTTATGTTTGTTATATGTGAAAGTTGCTCTTTAAAAAATATCATAAAAAGTAGTTAGAGAAGCATTCCGATTAGAAAACAACCTCTTTTCTTTCACAAGACAGGAGATACATTGCATATCTAATTTAATTTTGTTTCCTAATCAACATACGAATTAGATTCAAAACAATTATACAACACACGATTCACATAAAAATTCAACAAAGATTTAGTATCAAAGATTTACTAATTTTTAGTATCAAATGTCAAATGAAATATCTTACAATTTAGTATCAAAGATTTTGCTATTATTACTGGTCTGAAATGTAAAGAAAATATTAAAGATTTTACATATTCAGATTCAAAAATTAGTAGGCTAATTCAAAGATATTTTCCTGGGGCTGACAAATTTTTTATATATGATACATAATTCTAATT